TTTCCATCAAGCAAACTATTTCTGGTAATTCCCCCTAATTAACACCAGACTGCTAATAATAAATTAGGGCCTACGTGTTTCTGATATAACCAAGATCTTGTCTGAGCACAAGATATTAACCAATGTCCTGAGAAAGTAAAAACTTGAACCTAAATTAAGCCTTTACTGGTAAAAGGATTTATATGCAATTTTGTGAGAAATCCTTTGAAGAGCTCATATAGGGCATTTTGACCAGCAAACATTTTGAGTGACAGAGAGATTTGTTCTGTGCTGAGCAGTGAAAGTGGATTTATTGTGAAAACACACCGTTGAGTTTTAAGCCTATAAATCTTACACTGGATTACAGTCTCTTAATGAATGAATGACAGATCTCTTTTTTTTGTCGGTGCATTTTAATGTTAGATGACGTTGTGATTGATAGAAACCAAACTTTTGCCATTAAAATGTCAAATGCAGACTTGATGCCTTTAAAAGTTTGGCTTCTGGAGTTTAATATACTGTTTGCAAATAGACTTTCGTTTGTCTCCTTCATAGCCTAAACATTGAAGGGGAGGCAAGTTTTCTGTAAAGTTACCTCTAAATTTTATATAGCTGTGTGCAGTGTTTTGCTTTGCTTGTGTAAACAAAGGTAGAAAACAACAGTGCATTTGCCTAGTTAAGAGATACTCAGCTAAGGAGAGTCTTACCAGGCCAGCATTATCATGAAGTAATTGGCCATGTTATAGTAGATGGTTAAGTATCTCGTGGTGAAAGCAGAGACTGCTGTGTGCCAAGGCTAAGTACAGTATCAGATAATGCTTTCCAGAGCAGGCAGTATTTCCTCAAACAGTCTCATCTTAGGAAAAATATCAGACACTTTAAACAAGAATTGCAAATTATTCTAGTTGGGCAGTAGAATGAAGTAAAGAGAGCAAATAAATAGTAATTGGCCAATATTGAGTTTTACATTGTGACATATTTTACAGTGTTCGATAGCATATTTCCATCTTTTACTCCATTTTGAGAAAAGGTGGAGAATCAGAAACTCGCTGAGGTTGGAAGAGATCTTGGGAGATGAAGGGACCCTTGGACACTAGTCCAAGGGCCGTGTCCAGTCGTGTTTTGAGTATCTTCAAGAACAGAGACTCCACAATATCTCTGTGCTGGCCATCTCTTGACCATCCTCACAGTTGTCCTGCCACTATATATCGCTGAGCCGAGTCTGGCTTCATCTTCTTTACTCCTCCCTCAAGGTATTTGTACACATGGATGAGATCCCTCCTGAGCCCTCTCTTCTCAAGGCTGAAGAGTACCAGCTCTCTCAGTCTTTCCTTGTATGACAAATGCTCCAAAAAGCCCTTTATCATCTTCCTGGCTCTTCACTCCAGTACGTCTATGTCTCTCGTACTGGTGAGATCAGCACCGGGTCCAGCACTCCAGATGTGTCTCATCAAGGCTAAGCAGAGAAGAAAAGGATCATCTCCCTCAATCTACTGGCAATGCTTTGTCTAATGGAGCCCAGGAGGCTGATGGTCTTCCTTGTTGCAAAGGGGACATCACTGGCTCATGGTCAACTTGGTGTCCACCAGGAACTCCAGGTCATTTTCTCTAAAGCAAACCTCCAAGACACCGAACAACGAGCAACTCAAATGATATCTATTTATGTGCACAATCATGACTTTCTTTTACTGACTATGATTTAGAAAAAGAAAACATCCAACAACCACAAAACAACTGGGGAGAGATAGAGAGCTTGGGTTTTGTGTTGGGTTTATTTGTTTGGTTTGTATTTTAATTACAATTAAATTTGCAAATGTGAAATTTGCAAAATTTGATACCCAAGACTATAAAAACAAGCAAAGAAATCACCATGACTTAACAGCTGGATGTTTAGCATAAAAAAATGAAAAAAAAAATTCCAACAAGTAATCAGTAAATTGATTTAGTTCCCTTTCTTACTCCTGTTTGCAAAGCCACTCGTATGGCTAGACAACATGAGTAGCCCCATGAAGAAAGAGGTACACAACTGAAAAGACCAACACACGAACCACAACTCAACTTTTGCTATTAAGTTTATTGCATTGTTATATTAAGCATTTATATTTACACATAATTCTGAATTATTTAGTTACAATATACTGAAACTGTCATTATGATTCAATTATTCACTTACAAAGACCTTCCACCTTCAAACAGAGTTAAACTCTATTCTCTTACAGGCACAGTTTTGGAAGAAAAATAATCACTGATTGAAAATGCATGCAAAAATCTACAGTAGTTAGGTTACTAACACGTCTCTCCTGACTTTCTATCATTCCCTCAAAATGTGAATGCTATACATGTGTTGTATGAAAAATAGTTCGGAATCTCATGGAATCCCCAAACCATGATGGAACGGTGCTGATTTTTGCTATGTCAAGTCTGCAGTCAAATATATGGCTGTATATGTGCATATATACATATCTCTCAATATACATGCATGTGTGTGCATGTATAGAGAAGTATATATAAATACATACACATACACACCTCAAAAGATTCCAGAAGTAAATATGCAGGCTTACAAATAAAACAAAATACAAAGATACCAGTATGAAATAGTCCTAAACAAAAAAAAAGGTAATAAATATTCAGTGAGATATATGGCATTATTATAAAGTGCTCTACTAAAATCTCACTTAATAAAATAATGATAAAAATTATGTTCCTTTTAGTTGATTTATATAATTTGGTAGAGCCATTAAATATTCATTATGTATCAGTGACTCTATGCTTCCTTTTAACTTTTAAACAAATAGATAAAACTAGAAATTAAAAGGCAAAGCAGTTAAATGAAGCAGTATTACTGGAGCCTTCCAGGCCTTTTTTCCTCAAATTCATTAACAACTGTAAAATTTCAAACCCTAGAGCATATGGTCTAAGAAATATAATTCCAATTAAAATTATGAAATGAAACAATTCAATTTGATTTTGAGGACAGTGACAAACTGAAAAGTTTCTATCCTACTTTAAAATAGTGAGGTTTGAATTGCAGAAATTACTGAGCGCCTTATCCTGTGCATTCCCATCTTCTTTCCTCACGCATGTGCAATACAGCTCCACGGAAACCTAGTCTCTAGGTCTCGTATCTCTATATATCCCACCTAATTTCAAAAGCAACCTGGCTCCCATATTACCATATCTTGTCTAGTCTGATTCTACCCTTCTGATTTTCAGCCAAACTCACAAAAGGGTACTCTTACAAGACTGTAAACATTTTAAAAAGCTTTATGCCATTTGTTCCGTACCACCAAAAGTTAAAAAAGAAACGTGGCAGTAAGGAAGAAAAACAACTTCAGGAAATAAAGTGAAACAGCCCACAATCTGAACCTGTCTTGCTGAATTAATAAGAAAGCCAAATATCTTTTTGTATTTCAGTACAGCAATTTTGGCTTGCTTTCCCTCTTTTTTATTGACGTTCCCTGTCACAATTGCTTTACTCGACCACAGCATTTTTTTTTTTGTGATTTTCCCCATGGTTTTATGGATAAACCTGTCCTTTATATCAGTAAAAAAAAAAAAAAATCCAAACCCCACACAACAACAAAACCAGTAAACAGTTATTTTTAATGTCTACTCGAAAGAGCACTAAGGACTAACAATTGAGCTCTGACATCCCATTTGAATCAAACAGCATGTAAATTCAACTTCCCTTCAGGAATGCGGTCTGGCCCCGAGAGGGCCCTCTTCTCTGTGGTGCAACTCTGTGGTGCGAAATGCACCTCATGCAGAGGGTCACCACCTTTTCCCTATCTGCCCACAATTGCTCCGTACCACTGAAACCCTAATTGGAAGTGAAGTGGGACTTAGCTGGTGCACAGGTCTTACACTGACTCTCTGTTTGGAGGCGAAATTCCCATCAAGCCGCAGAATCGGCTACGTCTCCTGGCTTGCAGTAAATGCATAGGGACAGCATAGTCTCTCTCCTCCCTCGCAAGAACTGCGAGATACTGAGCTGCCTAACTCGACATTATATTATTCAACAATATATTTCTTACATCTGGAAGAAAAGAGAGAAATAAAACCTAAACTAATAAAAATCGTTAACAGCCGAGCAAGAAAATAAGTTTTCAGTACACTACCTGGCACGCCACCAATATACATATTCATGAGCTACACGGTAAAGAATGTACTGAGAGAGAAACAATGTCCTCAGTTGCACTTCAGCAGTTTCCCTCGTTCAACACCAGAGTCTCACATTCTGGATATAAAACAGTTACCTGCAGATTCAATGCAATCTCCCCTTTCCAAGGCACTTAAAACTATCTAAAACCTGAACTGTGAATACACGAGTATAACTCCCCATTCCCTTATTTTTAAGATCTGATCTGACATTTCCATCCTGTCAAACACAGGGTTTTTTGGCTAGTGTTCTGGTAGTACATGAGTTGAAGAACAGTATCTCATTTATGTTTTCTTTTAAGCGGCATCTTCGAAACTACTCTTTTTCATCAGCATAGCCACCACTCCATTTAACTGCTTTGTAAAAATCTCTGTCCTTTGCAGATCCATCAGAGATTTAACTGCCAAAGGCAGAGGTATGTGTAATTGTGCAGGAGGCTCCATGTGTATGAGTATCAGGTGAAAATAGCAGTTGTTGAAGTATATATTCCGTGTAATCTTATCTTTGCTTTGAGTTCCTTTTAATGGAGTTTAGCTACAATACTTCTAGACACACTTTAAAAACCATCAGCGCAATAAAGTGATCTGGATTGCTGAAGCCAATCTCCTTTTATTTGTTGAATAGCAGCAAAACTAAGACTTCTAACATCAGGTGTTTATTTTTATAGATATTTCACTCCTCATACTGAAACAGATAAAAATGTGGTCATAAAATCATGAAACCAATGCAATAACATGCCAAGTATAGAGGTAAAGGCACTCTAATCGTTTGGCTTGGACGTAATTCTTGATTCCTACATTTTTATGAAGCAAAACCCTAACTGATAAACACTCTAAAAATTAGTTTGGAAACCCTCCGCAAGTTTCCACATTCCTCTTCCACTTTCAAAAAAAACACCCATATATAAATAATTTTAACCAATTATTGAACAGGGACATTTTAACCTTTCTTTCTGCTCAGTACATTTGTTACACTAGATGAGCTCCAAGCATCAGATGTTGATGGAGTGAGCGTGTTTCTTGCACAGTGGCTTGTCCTTCTTGGAGAAGAAAGTTTGACCCTCCAAACTGTCACTACATATCTGAAATAGGATAAAAAAGAAAACATCACCCAATTCAGAGGGATGAATTACACCATACTTTATTCAGAATGCCAAATCATGGCATTGCACTATGCACAAATACAGTCAAAAAAAAAAAAAGAATTATTATCTTTTACTCAGGGATACTCTTTTAGATGTAATATAATGGTTGATGTAAGCATAACCTTCCTTTCTTTAAGTCAATGGGTCCTTAACTGGGACTAGAGTCAGGTTCAGCATTTGAAAAAAAATACCCCATCATGAGGATTGAAGCTTTGTCTTTTTGGTCATAAAACATTATCATAGAATCATAGAATGATTCGGGTTGGAAGATACCTCAAAGATCATCTAGTTCCAATCCCTCCCCATGGGCAGGGACACCCTCCACTACACCAGGTTGCCCAAAGCCTCATCCAACCTGGTCTTAACATTTCCAGGAATGGGGCATATACAACTTCTCTGAGCAACTTGTTCCAGTGCCTCATCACCCTCAGAGTGAAGAATTTTTTCCTTATATCTAATCTAATTCTGCCCTCTTTCAGTTTAAATCCATTTCCCCATGTCCTATCACTACACGCCCTTGTAAAAAGTCCCTCTCCAGCTTTCCTGTAGGCTCCCTTTAAGTACTGGAAAGCTGCAATAAGATCACCCCGGAGCCTTCTCTTCTCCAGGCTGAACAGCTCCAACTCTCTGCGCCTGTCTTCATAGCAGGTGATACTTTGGCTACAGTGTCAAACACACTGTTGATACTTTAGAAACGCAGCCTGTTCCTTCATGGCCTTCAAATCTTGCTCCGAGGAAGTAAACATCAAGGGTTAAATGCTAGGAGGACACATGGCTGCGATCCAGGCAACTCCTCTGGACCGGTGCCAGAGGCTCACAATAGCAACACACCTTCTGAGTAACTGGGAAAGTGCTTTTTGTTTGGGCTCGAAGGACTGAAAAAGGCTGTAGCTGTTAACTGCCGTATCGGTCAGGCTGGCACGAGCATGGCTGACATGGGTTTGTTTAAAACGCCGGCCAGCTTTACTTACCGAGCATACAAAGCAAGTGTCGTGCCAAGTGTGGCCCAGAGCTTCAAGAAACCTGTCTCCAGCTTCGATAGGGAATTCACAGCCATGGCACATAGTCCCGAAGAGAGCATAGTAATCTGCAAGCAGACACAAACAGATTTTGAAGATGAAGCATATGCAGAAAAGCGAGACTGACCCTTCAAAATCGTTGTGCTTTTCTTTCAATGGCAGTGGGTTTGCACTTGTCCAGTTTTATAATACTGGATACTGAACAAAAAGCTCCTAGATTGAAAGATTGGAGGATTCCCTCCTTTCCTCACTAATTCAGCTCTCATCCCCTTCTTTATCCTTTCAAGTGAGCAATGCCTCCATCTTCCTGATGTTTCGTTTCCTTAAGATCAATAGTGAGCTCGAGGGTGGGGGAGAAAGCACTCCCTGCAGAGCACCCGTGTGGGCTCCACATGCTTTTTACGTTCTCTCTAGCTCTGCTTGGAAAGCACACCCAGGCATTTCACACAACAGACCTCCTCAGTGGGCAAACTCCTGCCTACCTCTGCCCCAGACTGCACCGCACAAAATCACACAATCATTAGGCTTCTGTGCTAAGCAGAGTCTAGCAATTGGGATCAAGTCAGAACAGTTTCCTAGTCACCGAGATTTATTACATGGCTTTTAAAAAAAAAGCCCCAAAACCCAAACCAAAACCAAACCAGAGGCTTTAGGCAATGTTTATTGCATTTAACAACAAGCATCAGTAGGGTGTCAAGATGGTTATTAGTGACTGGAATCACTGGAGGGTATTCACACCATTCATTTTTTAGGCACTGGATTGACTTGGTGCCTCTGGAGGCTCCCCTGGTGTCAGCAGAGAAAAGCTCCTCCAGCCGCCTCAGCGAGAAGGGACCAAAACAAAGGGCATCAAACTGTTCATATTCCCCGACTCCAGAGTGTGAAAGAGAGAGAGCAGGGCAAACTAGCAGGATAAAATACACATATAAAAGCTGGGTGGGAGGCACTGACACCCACTCCCATCCCCACAGTCTCAGTGCGTAACACTTGCTTCTCTGTGCACAGAGCCATCTCAGAGGCTGCAAGTCATCACAGCCCTCCGCTGCCCACCTGTGCAGACCTAAATTTCACCCCAAGTTGTCTGGTCTTTTCCACTTATTTCAACTCTCAAATACCCCCATTCTGAGAAGGAAATGTTTTTTTCCTGCACAGAAGACAACAGCATTAGTGCTACAACATGAGAGAATTTGGGATCAGCACCCTGCCATGCCAAATACATAACGTCATGCAACATTACATCTTCATAAGATGAAGTACAGAGTGACAACCACAATGAAGCTTTGGACTCCATCCTTAATAGTAATGCTCTGGGGCTCTGACAGAGAAATTACATGTCAGGGATTGTTATCAAGGAGCCTTATAAGGAGTGGCAAGTAGGGTACAAGGAGATTTTGCGTCTCTACAAGATTATACAGATCTGCTGAAGCTCTAATGCTTGCTGCAGAGAGCCAACAGAGGCTTATCAATGTGTCAAGCACAAGGGAAGAGTCGGTCCTGTTTTGGTTTAGTAAGACAGCGTTTTGTATGATGACCTTAAAAAGCATCATCTTAGGAGGCATCTCAGCAGGACGGGGAACGTAAGTGCTTTGGAGAAGTAAAGGCCTTGATGGCTGCCAGTGGCAAGAAACAGCTTCACCATTGGCCTTCATTAATCCACACTACTGGCATGAATTTGCAAGTGTTTAAGCAGAAGAAAGACAACAAAAACGTCAAATGGTAGAACACCTTGGTCCAAAGCCCCTGAAGAACATGGTCCCATGACCACACTGCTTCAGCTCTTTGTATTCGTGTTCATACAGAATCTTTTACTGATATCTTCCTGGTGCCAGTAGTTAAAGCCTTTTGTAAGCTGGCCTGTGGTTTGTGTTGATAAGTTTATTGGCTTTTCTTCTGAAGAAAGGGCAATAGATAAGGCAGAATGAAGGGCATTAGCTTTCTTTTGCTTTTGCATGCTTGAATTGCGATACCACAGAAGTCTTCCAAGGCAGACTTCCCATACAGTCACATATCAATGCTTCCTGCACACGGCATTTTCAAAACTAGGTTACTAACTCTGCACTTAAAACAAAATCAAAGTTGTAGACATCTGCACTTCTAATTTAATTTCAGCATCGACATCCAAAACCAGAACGTTTTGCAGATCAAGCCCCCTTAATACTAATAGCTGATGCTGTTATAATTTCAAATACAGATTTAAAATTACAACCCTTCTTTGCATTCAGAAGAAGGAAAGTTGGCAAGGACATTTACTCCTTATTTCTTTAAAATTAGTCATAGGCTCTTAACTCCAGCTGGACTGAAAGTCTTTGAAGAATGAATATCCCAAATTAACATCTAGTTAGAGAGCCAGAGCCATTACAACGTATCACTGCCAATAACACCTTACAGAACGTGTCTACATTAATTTGTGCTAGCAGCTTTCTAGCTCAGAAATAAACTTTGTGAAAAGTGTAATACTCCTGATGTTTTATCCCAGTGTTTTCTGCTCACAGGATAGAAAAGTGAGCATTTGTGCACCGGAGTCGTAACAGTAGCGCAAATCAATGCACCGCACAACATATGGGTCATCTGGTGGCAGGAACAAGAATTCAATACTAGCAGAACCAACCCGGCCACGAGCTTTCCACCCAAAGGGGAGTTATTGATTCCTCCAGTACTATTTTTGAATCATCAGATGGTTTCAAGATTAGGGGCTTCAGATTGCTTCAGGATGAAATTTCACCGTGCTGTCACACTGGAGGATGCTGCTCGTATATCCGTTTCCTCTGCTGCTCCATGAATTCAATAGGAGCCACATGTTACCCTACTTGTGTCACTGACTTAGCAATAACCTACTGTGTCCTTTTGTATCTGCCAACACCTCATTAAAGCTGCTCTGACAGAGAAATTTTGGATCAACTTTGCCTGCTTTCCTCATCCTTTCAGTACCCAGCACTCTCAATGGCACCCACTGCGAACAACTGTGGGATCAACCAGAAGGAAATACTAGCTCCAAACAGGTCACTAGGATTTCATGCTAAATCTCTTCCTGCTCAATTCACTTCCACCTCTGGTTAAACTACAGTACTCCGTACAGTAGAAGGAAAAACCCAGAAAAGGTCCTACTTACGATTCTAACATGGAAGTAAACAGCATGCAGTGTAAAAATAGACTGGTTTGATACAACTTTGTTTTCCATTTTGTGGGAATTGTTTCACAAATACTATCTATCACTTCCCTAGACCAGAAGGGTACGTGGAAAGTTTTCAGCAAACTAGGAAACGAACATAAATAAAAACTGTTCATATTAATCAAAAAGATACAATTAGCTGGAAGTGCTGAAAACCAAACGAGAATCCCTCTGAACTTCTAAGCCACACCTTTCACGTAATATTGCTCGCCAGGCTTTCAAGTGCTGTAATCATATCACTGTATTTTTCCCCTGACAGCCTGTCTTTTTTTATCCCAAGCTTATGTTCAACAGATGTTATCCCTGATCCTGCAAAAAACTTCCCGGGCAGACTGCTTACTGTTGGAAGTTGCCTCCCGGCTGTGAATAAGGCTATTCAGAGTAAAACACATTAATTACTCCACTGGCATTTGCTTGTTTAGCAAATAAGCAGATTTACATAAACTGCAGATAATTTTAAAGCTGACCAGAAAGTCACCCTAAAATCCACACTTTGCTGTATCGCTGATACATACAGCTGAAGGCTTAACAGGAACACCAAGTAAAACCCGCAACAAGAATTTTTTTTAAGCCAACAAGGAAATTCTCACCAATTCCTCCGGCTGCGAACTCAAAGTGTCTACAGCATTCGTTGCTGCTTTGAATTGACATATCAAAGTTACCCGAATTTGCTGGGATGCTTCTTCTGAAGGGAAGCTTGAGGAAAAGGAATTATTATTTTTTCTGACCTCTAAGCTCTGCTTCCCTGCACAGCCTCAGGAAACTGTTGCTTCTTACCCGTCTCACAGTAGGGATCGCCGTCTTCTAAGTGGAAGACATTATTGCGGATGGGGTTATGACAGGCCACACACACGAAGCAGGAAACGTGCCAAGTTTGTTTCAAAGCATTTATTACTTCCTGTGGGGATTAGAAAAAGTGTTATTAACACATTATTTTGATGTGATGACTAGATTGCAGCGACCACAGCTCCACACTTGATTTGTTTCAAGAATACTTTGTTTCCTACTGCTACTTTGAAAACAGGTTGTGCATGCCATTTCTGCTGATGTTAAACTTAATGAGGTGCTTTATTTATGGCAATTCTCCTTATTTGTCACAAGCAAAGTTTCATTTTTTGGGAGGTTCAACGTAGAGCTGGGCAGATATAACAACCCATTTGTTCACTTTTTCCATTTTAATTAGGATCTCACTCACAACAGCCCCCTGAAATAAGAAAAGCAACATCTCTGACATCTCCTCAAGTCTGTGAACAGTTAATCAGAAGACGTCACATCGAAAATTATGACTACTCTGTGTTGTTTTGGAAGACGCTATAGTGCCAAATATGACTCGTGAATTGTGCTGCCAGAGCCCTGCGTGACCCCAGTTACACAAGAGTCCAGACACATTGCTGTCTGCAGTAAAGCAGCGGACGATCAGCTGGCGGGCTCAAATTAGCAATATTAGTGCTGAGTCGGATAATGCGTCTCTCTATCTACATTACCACTGGGAATATTTCAGTACTTCACATCCTGCCAACGAGCGTGTTCCCCAGCGCTCAGCTTAGCTAAGGAGGATTATTTATTTTTCTCCCCGCCCCCTTCCCCCTCCAATTTTGCAAAAAGCTGCCAACTGAAAGCATTTTGCTCATGAAAATCTAGTAGTCACAACAGCTACAGAACAGCTTCATGAAAACAGGAGCTGAACTTGGAAGAGCCAAGGAGACTACAGCACCTTTTTTCAAAAAGACTGTAAAAGCTCAACATTAGAAGAGCCAAAAACATATTCTGTATGTGATGGGAGCTAAAAGGAACATCAGAATATGTTTGGAGGAATGCAGGCTGGCCAGATAAAAGGGAATTTCATTACAGAGAAGCAGTGAACACTGGGGTTATTGTTCCCACTGAAAAACAGGCCACTTGCTGGTCACTTACCCCAAGGATCTTCCTCTGGCACTTTGAACACTCAGGGGCGAAGAATTTCTCATAGCAGACCTCGCAATACAGCGCTCCTTTCTCTTCCACAAATCCAATGTAAGCCATGGAGGTTTTGCAATGAGCGCAGTTAAACTCCTCTGGATGCCAAGACTTCCCCAAAGCCACCAAGAAGGGTCCTCTGATTAGAAAGAAGAGATTTTGTCAGCAAATGCCGCTGGGTTAGCTCCTGCAAAAACTGTCGATAGGCTTAACCTGCGATACCTCTGTGCCAGAATTACACTGGTCACAAACTTATATTGCTCCATCTCTCTTTCCTCCTACAGGCTCTAAGAAAGCATCAAGTGTTGACTGTATCTATTCCCACCAAACTATGTCCCAGAAACACCTGACCACAATAAACACTAACTCTCTTTGCTTCACCACATTTCAGAAATCTTATTTTAGAACTACATCAAATACAGTGCTGAAGTGGCTATTAGGGAAAAGGAGGAGGACAATGATGTTCTCTATGTTCCCAACTATTTCAATCTATTGCAAAGAGATATTTGACTCAGTGATGCAATCAGCTCTTTCAGCGTGCAATTTTGTTGAGGCCACAAATGTTCAAGTAGACTTGACTCCATTAAGAGCCAATAATACCAGTTTCTTGAGAGACAAAAATTCAATCATGGTCCTTATCCAACAAAGTTGTTACAGGATAACCTATCTCAGTTGTTTTGTTGTTTTTTCTTTTGTCAGTTTCTCTGGGGTTTTCTCCCCCCTGCAGAAGTTAGTTAAAATATGACCATTTTCTCAAAATACAAAGCCTCTTCTACTATTTGCAAACACAAAGTAATGATGTTTTTATAGTATTTGTCCGGCTAATGCAACACGGTTAATAGAAAGCATGAAACTGTTCAATTCTCAGCCCACAAAAACTTCTCAGTTAGTAACTCATAAATCCCAGGCATATGCCATCGTATCTATATTCACTGGAAAACATATTCAGCATGCTAATTTCTTTAATGAACTTATTTACTTTAATAAGGTGCTTTCTAGGTCCCACCAACACTCAACCTTGCAGCATTTAGGTTTCAGGTGAACTTTGTGGTTCATCTCCCTCACCAGATTGGCTGGTTTTGCAATACCAATAGAGATGCCATTCTTTCAGTAATGCATCCCTTTTTTCTGACCTAATACTTCACCGAAAAAGTGTGAGGTACTATTATCACTACCTTTTTTCTGACCTAATACTTCACCGAAAAAAAGTGTGAGGTACTATTATCACTGTGCTGTTGCTACACTTTTTTTTTCTTTAAATCGAGTAAGCTACAAGAATATTTTTGTTAAGATAAGATTCTCATATGAACAAAGCAACAGCAATAGAGAAGAAAAACACCTCAGCATGTTTCCAGGGTTGTACTAACTGTAAGACGGGAATATAAGCGAACAGAGGGCAACTTCATTGAGAGTAGGGGGTATTTATTTTCCTTTCTCTTCTATGTTTTCTCAGAAGATACTATGCATTTTCAACAGGATGAGAAGTCAAAAATAAGGGACTCGAACAGATTTAGGACAAATCACACACCTTCTGAGATGAGGAACATATTTAATCTGCAACAGTTTTTCTTTTCACATCTGGTTATTGAAAAGCAAGCAGTGAAAAAGGGCTCCTGGAGAGCAGCTCGTAGCCCTTTAAGGAGGGAGCCGAGGTCGAGTGCAGGTCTCCGGCCCCCCACTCCCAGCGGATGCCTGAGCAGTGCAAACACTGCCCTAACCTGATACCCTCCTGCCGCCCTACAAGCACCTTTCTCCATCAATGCCCTTTCAGTTATGTACCGATCAAACAATACAAGCCCTTATGTACAACAAAGTGCTCTCAGCGCACCGTGTCAGCACAGGCTAATTTAACAGATTCATTAACACGGGGCTGACACCGAGGAGGCTCTCCCAGCCCCAGGTAGGATTGAGTTTCTGGCCATCTGCACTGAAACGATAGGCTCGGTTAGCTCTGCAATGGAAAGCAAGTATGCTAGTGACGGGAAGGGAAGGAATTTTAACAACATCTGCTGCGTTTAGCTCTCCAGAGTTTACAGCTTTGACATGTTGAGGTTCAGTCATTCAGGACAGCACGCAGGAACCCAGACAGATGGGGAACAGCCTGAGAGTGCATCTACAGAGTTTCTTTCCCAAAGTCCCCAGACAGCTGTGGCTGTGCCCTGCACAATGTCTCCGAGGTGTTCCATTAGCGGGCTGGCTCCCTGCACACACATGTCCAGAAGAGCGCTTTCTAAATATAATTTTACTTTTAATCAGGCTGTAGTTTAAACATGTCAAGCTGACGTGGCAGCTTAATGATACCAGCGACTTAAAAGCTACCCCAAAGCACATGGAAGAAAGGAAAAAAAAGAAAAAACACACCTGCCACGCAAAATACACTAAAACGTGATATTCAGAACTTGGAGGTGTTCCTGGTCTCTGCATATTTTTGTGACTGAAACAATAGCTTCCAGTAATGAAAAGTATTAATTTGACGTATTAATTTAAAAAAGAGTTTAAAGCCCCAATTTAAGAAAGGAGGCTGCACACCCACACTCACGCAACCTACGGCATGAAATGCTATGAAGATGGCTGCAGATGGCTTCATCCTTCCTTCCTCATTTAAAAACAGAAAACAATGAAAAAATTCCACATGTGTCTTGTCAACTAGAAGATATTTTTAAAGGTGATGCTAAAAACCCCATGTTCCTTCCATGCAAAGATATGACATGATCCAACTAGCAAGTTGGCTATGAATGCATCTCTATCCCAGGCCGCTTTGACGTGCTCAGGATTTCTGAACAAATTTCTGACATCACCATCCAAACCACAAGACTCAAACTCACAGATGGAGGCAAATAGTTGTAATTTAATTTTCTTTTCTTTTTTTCTTTTTTTTTTTTTTTTTTTTTAAGAGATTCTGATGTATTCACAACAATATTTGCAGAATCTTACGCCCCGAAGGATCACCAGATACATAAGTCTGGTAGCCATCTAAAACATCTGGGTCCCACGCATCGCAATGACACAGGGGAAAATTGGAAAAAGTAGTAAATAACATACATGGAATACAAGTGTAAGTCACTATCTTTCCCCTTTATCAGTATGGTCAGGATGTATTAGTATATCAATGAGCTATCTTCTCATGTGGCTTTTATTACAATAGCAAGCCAGACCTGAAATTTGGTGGCAAAGACATCAAAAAAGGATTTCTACATCAGCTAAGTAGGCCACTCACTTTACAGTTAACCACACAGCACTCTGCACTCTGAGAAGTTTCTTTTTCCCCTCACTTGAACATGCCACAGTATATAATTTCTGTATAGGAGATGCTGACGGGGAGCCCCATTCATACTTTTTCCCTTTCCCTTTAAAACCAATTAAGCTGTATGAAAAGGTGTCAAAGTCAAATCATCACGCAAAAGCAGACATGCCAAAGAGTATGTTCTCAACGGAGATTCAAGGAAACCTCATTTGGACTTCAAAGGGAGAGCCAACTCTGCATTGTAGCACTTGGTAAAACTGTCCGGCAACCCGAAGTCTTCATCAGGAAATGTCAGAAGTTTGTCAGACCACCACAGCAAGTAGATGATGGGAAATTTAGTTTGCTTCCAGCTTTGATTCTTTTAGACATGGAAAGAAAAGCTTACTTAATGAAGCTCTGGAAAAAACTGGAATCTCCAGACAACCACTGTTATGAATAATTAAAGATATATTAAAAAGTTATAAGATGTCTCTAAGAAATGGCTTTGGCTCAACCAGCCACGGTTATTCTATGCCTGAGTGTAAAGTAACCAACCCTACAACGCATTTTGGCTTTAAAACAGATGTACAATGCAATGTCACTTGATCCTCCTCCTCCCTTTTCATAGGTAATGCTACCACTAAGAGCAAGAACTGTAATTATGCTAAAACTTGAATTCAAAATGCCATTGCAACCTTCCAAATCCACTGTATGTGGTGAAGAGGAAGCATGTTTGGCATTGATTAATGCACGTCAACTCATCCTTAAATGAAACAATGCTTGCTTTTAATAATTGAGGTGGCATTTAACGCACTAAGAAATATAAGGGTTTAAACACCACCAGCAAATGACAAAGAAGTTAGACGTGAGTATCAGTTACTACTCATGAAGGGGTGTCACTTTCAATAGGTGACAATGGCTTAAGCACTGTCAAGTAGGAGTCCTAAGTTTCTCCTCATGCAGCCATTAAGGAGCAAATGTTGCTCCATGGACCAATAGCTCCCCTACTTCCAGGGTGGCAGCTCATCTCCTTTTTAAAGGAGAGCAAAGTGGGAAAGCAGGGAGTAGCAGCAAGTGATTTAAGGGCTGAGAGGCGATGCTGCCTGTTCAGGAGACATCTGCGGACTGTGCTGCAAGACCCCACGGCACAGAGCACCAGCGAACCCTGCCAAACCACAGGTGCTGTAAAAGGCACTGAAGTTTCTTGAATGAAAGATGGAACGTACAGTGGATTTGCTACGTTCAGTTTTAATTTTTAACTGAAATAGTAACAAAAAGGAAAGTGTATGGTTGCTTGCATATTATTTACTAGACGCAAAGTGGAGGGAAGAAAAAGATCAGACTACTAAAGACAGGCAGGATGATTATACAGGCCAAACCATTCAACGAAACAGGTGAATCTCTTCTCAAAAGTGTGTAGACCTTTTTGATACTAATCTTCCATTTTGCAGTGAAGCAAAAAATCTGGATTAAAAGAGATGTGCACCTATTTGGGAATTTGTATAAGTTTTTTCTACTGCTTCAAGGGGATTCAGATCATATATTTTTATTTCCTTGACATATACAATGGAAGTAAGAAAAAACTCCTCCAAAACATTACAGATCAGTTATTGAAGAGTCCTCTAAAATTAATCCAATATTAACCAAACTGGTGATGAATGATCAGAACAGAAATCTAATGGAAGGAAAGAAGCTGGACTCAATTGACCCCTAGAGATAAGTGATTTGAGTTAGCTGCATCTTCTGATGCAGAATCCAAGTCAGGGCTCAAGAGGCTGCAAAAAGCCATGGTGGAAAGGCTGATTTTCTACTATACTGAATGAAATTTACACAGCTCATAGAGCTTCTCATTTTTCAGAACTCGTGTTTTCTAATCAAACAAGTCTCTCTAACTGTGGTGAAACACGGTGCAGGGTCTCCTATTTTGTTCACTGAAAACATAGGACACAGGAGAATAAAAAAGAAATATTACAACACGTTCCTTTTCCCTTGTAGTTCAACAACACAGATGACTGAACAAGTAAGAAAAAAGTACTTTAAAAGAATACATTTCTTCCAATAATCCCACAAAATCTCTATTTTAGAGAAGAAATAAAATGCAAGGTAGAAGAAAATTGGGATGATTTGCACACTGACATGAAAAGTGATTACAGTTCCCTGGATGAGACAACCATGATTAATTGTCAGAAATCACTGACTGAACCCAGATTCAATTCTTCCTCCGTTCGAAATTCTGGCTAATGATAGGATATCTTAGGGGCTCTGCAGAATTTATTTAGCTTAAACTCATTTGTATTGCTTAATCTTTTCTACCTATATCATACAAGTCAAGGAGACTAGCCACCATAATACCCAAAAGCCAGAGAGCTTGAAATCTAACATTGTAGGAAATTATTACGAATCCAGTCCCATCAATTGTTAAACCTCTATTCCTTGCTTTTCTTATACAGATGGAGTCTGCTATTTTTCTTCTTGTCAATTAGAAATTCTGGTTTATAAATCAACATTTGTGACAAGCTGATCTTTATAAGACTGTACCTTCTGATTGGTTTCCAACTAGCTAATCTTCTCAATTTTATTGGAATGGGCGTATAAGTCAAAAATAACTTGCTTATTTTTCTTTGGTTTTACTTTCGCTCTGCTCCACCCAACTTTCTGGTTCTCTGTAAAACATGTTGTAAGGCTGTGACTGTTAGCAGTTCACAATGTTTTTCCTCCGTCATTACTCTCATTCTCAGTTTTTTTAGATAAACCATGCATGAAAACAGTGTTCTGCATCATCGAAACAAGCCTTCAAACACTTGTGACTAAGGAATCAAAAGCCACCAAAGCAAAACAAGTTCCTTCTGTCAGAGGGCCTGTAGGATGAATAGATACAAACCTAATGACTTGGTTACAGTGTGCACACATGGGAGTACGCTTTCCCGCTGGAATATGTTCTGCCCTCTGAACCAACGTGTCTTGCTCATTTAGCTGAGGTGCTGTGGCAGATTTTTCACTCGGGGCAGTTGTTCCAGGTGGTTTAATGCTGTTTGATGTCCATCCACTGGCAGGAGCTGAGGTGCCAAAAGCATTTAGAAGACCATCTTTCAGTACCAAGTAAATTATTTTGAAATACAAGCAACCAGCAACATTTGCCTAACATCTTTGTCCAGGGTATACCTGCCTGCTTAAAGGAACAAACTAAAAAGCATTTATCACCTTGTCCTCCACCAAATAAGTCCTACCTACTTTATGAAATGTCTGTGAAAGAACACAGAATGGTTTTGGCTAACTTGTAGAAGTGGTGGGCAAATTTCAACATACTAAAGAAGTTAGGTGAAAGAATATACAACCTGTGAAGGCATTGTTTTGCTTTAGATACAAAAACTGAAGCCAAGAATACCAGTGTACAGACAGAGACAGGAGAACATGATATACCTACTCAAAACATTTTACAGTGACTACAATAGATCACACATCATTACTAACAGATTAAACAAGAGTACACGTTCAATACAACATGTGCTGGTTTTGGCTGACGTAGAGTTAATTTTCTTCACAGTAGCTACTATGGGGCTATGGTTTGGATTTATGATGGAAACAGCGTTGATACCACAGGAATGTTTTGGTTACTGCTGAGCAGTGCTTACACAGAGTCAAGGCCCTTTCTGCTTCTCACCCCACCCCACCAGCGAGTAGGCTCAAGGTGCACAAGAAGCTGAGAAGGGGACACAGCTGGGACAGCTGACCCAACTGACCAAAGAGATATCCCTGACTATATGACCTCATGCTCAGTATATAAAAGCTGTGGGGAAGAAGAAAGAAAGGGGGATATTCGGAGTGATGGCATTTGCCTTCCCAAGTAACCGTTATGCATGATGGAGTCCTGCTTTCCTGGAGATGGCTGAACACCTGCCTGCCAATGGGAAGCAGTGAATGAATTCATTGTTTTGCTCTGTTTGCATGTGTGGCTTTTGCTTTACCTGTTAAAACTGTCTTTATTTCAACCCCCGAGTTTTGTCACTTTTACTCTTCCGATTCTCTCCCCCATTCCAACAGGTAGAGAGCAAAGCAAGTGGCTGGGTGGGTCTTAGTTGCCAACTGGGTTTAAACTATGACAAACATAGAATCATAGAATGGTTAGGGTTGGAAGGGACCTTAAAGATCATCTAGTTCCAGCCCCTCTGCCATGGGCACAGAAATCCTCCACCACACTAGGTTGCCCAAAGCCTCATCCAACCTGGCCTTGAACACTGCCAGGGACGGGGCATGTACATGTACAGGAACTTACAGTACTGTGTAAGGAAAACATTTATTTCTAAATCAAATTTAAACACTAGTCTACATCACTTGATACTATCAATCTGAAGCACTCCAAAGGTCATGTTCATATCCTCTTTATAAAAGTTATGACACTGAAATAAAAAACCTGACACTTTCAGAATGTATACATCCACACACTTCTATTTATGCTCAGGTTTTTAGAGTTGTAGAATAGACGTGCTTCTACGGGGTATGAAAAAAGCATTTACAAAAATGAAAGACACAGATGATACTGTTGCTAAGGGTAATGAAGAAACAAACAGTTCTCTGCTTTTCTTTCTCCCCTATTGGTATATGTACCTTGGTAACATACACGCTACAGCAACACAAGTTTATGGGAGCAGTTATTCCTGTCAAGTGGAGAATTCTTTTTCTTTTTCAAGTACACTGAAAACCCCTACATTTCCATAGCCTTTTGTTTGTAATCACAGGCAAGAGAAACCGTGAGTGTTTACTCAGTGTCCTGGCTTTAGTGCAGCCGCACTAAACCTTGTAAATCAAAAAGTGAAATTAAGATCTGAGTGAAAGCTTGGAGAAAACAACCAAGCAACGACAGAGATGTCCGACAGCGCAGGATGATGCTTCTGTTGCAAGGATGCAGCGCTCTAATACAAGGTCAGGGCATCGGTACGTAGCTTTGCACAAACACTAGTTTGTGGAGCTGTTATTCTTTGTGCTAGCCTTCCTCCCTCATCCTTCATATCAACTTCCAAGAAAAAGATTAAAAACAGCGTATCACTACCTCCCTTAACGTAATGCTGATCAGCCTCTGCCCTACAGGAAAGTTGCAAACACCTTTCAGGTAAAAAATTGCATTCCCTGCTCAAATAGAAGTGGCATAATAATTCACGGAGAAGATAAATTTAAGCGACAGTGAATACACAGAAAATTCAACAGAATTGCCAATCCCTTGCTATTTACAGAGTTGAGATAGCCACACACTGCACAATTTAATCAAAACAATACAGTGAACTTTAGTTCATAAAAGCCTCCTCTACTCATGTGTATTTGTAGGCTAAGGCAATACAGCTGGAAGAGAAATCCTTTTTAACACTAACACTTTTGTACTGTTAATTATACTTGGTATTAATCCACCGATATGGGCTCAATAGCTGCTTTTGCTTACTCTTTCTCTGCATGAAGAAGCAATAAAGTCATATATCTTGTTTTGTCTAACTGGCTGGTTCATCAAATATTCTCAAATCAGGTCATTTCAAGACTGACATATTTTTGGATCCTTCTCTTTATCTGAAGCATCAAAAAGTATACCAGTTCATCCGGGTTTTTTTGGTTGTGTTTTTGTTCTTTTTTTAAACATAAGCCTATTGATTATATTTAATGTATAATTAATTAATTTGCCATTTCTCAAAAAAATAACATCTTGATTCTAGAAACATTCAGCATTCCTGAGTAGAAAGTATTTAGGAATAAAAGCACTTGATCTTGAACAAGTCACTCTGCTACTGTGATTCATTTTGGATTACAAATGTCTGCTAAACTGAAAACACAGGAACAGATAAAAATGGAAAAGGTGGCAGAAAGGCTTTGAAGACATGAACAAAAGTGGTTTTGATTAATAGCACTTTCCTCCTCTGTCATCACACATGGCCTTCTAATTTTCAGGTCGTGTTTCACAAGAAGACAAAAATACACACTAAAACCAAATCTGTTTGAAGATTGCTTTTGCCATAAATCAAACTGGAGTGTGGCTTCTAGCATATTGCAAATTTCTGTTTACCTGCTGAATGGCAAAGCGCATTCAGACGCACAGGCTAGCTCTTGTTTGCACTGTGTAGTTAAAAGAAGTCCTTCTGCTTGCTTAAAGGGAAAAAAAGTAAGAACACCACAATTATTCCCTTTTCTTTGGTCACATTACAACTTTCATTAATGCTGTTTTTATGAATGATGGCTTTTCTGAACACTACCCAACTTTAGAATTACTACTAACCAGGAATAGGATTTGTCTACATAAAATTTCTCTCAGAATTGTTAGACAAATCAGTCATTTCTGAGCTATTCAAAGCACTAAAAAAGGAGAGGAGGAGATAGTCCATCAGTTTGGGAAATAACTTCAGTTTATTAATGACTCTATGTTAAAAAAAAAAAAAAAAAATCTCTTAAGTGAACCATACTATAACCCACTCAAATTAGTACTGTGTTAAGCAAGAGATGTGACCTAAGCAAAACCAAGCTGGGCATTAGGTGTTGAAGGACCAGTGAAGGCAAACGGACCCACTCCACTTCCACTGAAATCAGTGAACTCAAGTTCAACACCGACATCCAGCAGATGCAGAACTTCCATGGGATCACAACCACAGTGCGAACAGAGTAAGGGCAACAACAAATAAGCCTAAGCCTTCAGATACATCTATATTTGTCAGCATATTTTTGGATACTGGACAAAAACTAAGTTCTAAAAGGCTTTTTGACTGCCATTTGTAAAGATATGTCACTATTTGGTCTACTATGATGGGAACAATATCTAATTGATGACCGCAGAAGCCATCAGCAGCTGAGAACTAAGACAGAAAAGGTTGCCTTCTGCTCAAAAATTCTTGAAAAGCAAGGCCTTGAGGCATTTATTAAATGTTCTCTTCTTTCATCTCTCGAGGCCAGTGTAAAGCCAGGAAGCTCCCTGCCTATGCTTACAATCTGTCCCCGCAGCATCCTCTCAAGGAGTATTTTTCTCTTTGCTCACATTCACATTAATACCTTGTTGGTCTTACACAGCATTATTCCCATCTATGCCTGTTCTGAAGTAGACTCAGGTTTCTTCCAGTTCAGATTTTTCATCCTAAAGAAGAGGAGTCAGTCTGCTTCCATTGCCTTTAGATCCATACTCTTAATAAAGAAAATACACCAGTAAAGTACAGTAATAGCTATTCCACCACATTTATTATACTGGTTTCTTTGTAAACCTTCTACACTTGTTCTGCTATTTTTTTTTTTTTTTCCACCATAGATCATTCTCCCTTTCTCACTGCTTGCTTTACCTCGGTCTTTTATCTTCCTCATTCCCATCTGAACACTAGCCTGAGGACAGCTTTTATTGCCTACTTGTGTCTTTCCATAGGCCAGAAAGGTCTTTAACACTCCAGTAATTTTAGCAAAGGTTCATTACTTCCACTGCAACCCACGGCACATTTTTCTATTGGTGGTGGTATTTTTGTGTGTTTTTTACACACTATTATTTCCCTACTTAAAATCCACATAAATTCTCAGTATTTTTTTCCAACAATATTCCACTTCTTGTAGCTACAGAATTTAAAATATTAAGTCTGTTTTCTTGTTTAGAACAAACATCAGTGTTTCCCAACTATCACTTCTACTTCAAGAGCAAGTCAACTCCTGTGCTGGACAAGACGGTCCTTCTGCAAGCAGAGGAAGGGAACACTCTCAGAGTTCCCACATTCTCCTCCTCTCCTTTCCCTTCCCTATTCCCCTCAGAAACCTTTCAGATTGAAACACAACCACACGACTTAAAAACATCAGGCCTGGAAAACTTATGCAGGTGTTTTTTCTTGCAATAAGAAGCTTTTACCAGGGCACATCAGTAACAACAAGGTAGGTACAAATTATCACACTCAGTCTAAGCAAAGACCTCTCAACTCTTGGCAATCGGTCTGAGCTCTCCTGTGGTTTGGGCTTTATCCTTTGCTTTTTATATTTTATATATATGATTTTGGATCCCATCAACAACTCTTTTTCTCAAATAGTGCTGGGGAGGTGCGCCGGTACCCTAGATCTGGCA